TGAATGGCCAATGGCCCACACCCTTGCCCTCCCATTTTTTTAAGTTCCTTTCTGTTCCTGGTGTCCTGTTTTGGCTCTGTTATTTTAGGGTTTCAGTGGCTAATAGTTATGTCTATTCCCAAAGCTTAGCCAAAGTACCCTTAAATATATAATATACTCAGTAGAAAGCAGCTCTATCTGTGGAGAAAGAAACATTTCAAGATGAGCTTGATTCATTACTATCATTCTCATTTAACCCTCCATGATTTTTCTTCCCCAATCCCCCATGGGATACCAATGAACACATGGGGAGGGCTATGTTATAAAATACTCAAGCAAAAGAAAACATTATAAAAATGGATTTATACATAGAAATACATGTTTCCAAATAAAATAACTTTTCTGTATGTCTAAATGCATAAAAAGAGTGCTGGCATATGATATTTAGAAAGGAAAGAAAATAAACAATTTAGAAATAATCAACCTTCTCAGGATAATAAGTATGTGTCAATGATCACCTGTGTGGAAGAAGTAGCATAAAAGACTTCAAATATGTGTCTGATGTGAAAAGGAAGAGTGGGCCAGTCCCTTGGCACCCTTGCAATACTAACTGGGCAAGAGCGAGGTCTCCATTATAAATCTTCTGCATAGGACTTTGGGGCAAACACAGACAAGAATTACACAGGAGGAAGGGGTGGAGAAGGTTCACAATTTGCAATGGCATAGAAAGCTGGCCAATAAAATCAGATTCATCAGAATAAGAAAATTTAGCATAATTGCAACTTTGAATTTCATACTTTTGTTAATAATTTAAAAACGTGCTACCTTTTGTTGAAAAGCTTCACTTAGACTAGATGAAGGCACAGGGTAAAATTCCTGGACGTGCCTAGACGTGACGAAAGAATCTCTTCCAAGATAATCCCCTATCTGGAAATCTTCAGCTACTTGAGAAGAGCAAAATGTTCAGTATCTAGCGGAACAGAACATCCCTATCTTGGATACCTTTCTCAGAGTTTGCCTGGACATTCTGGCAGCGTGTAGCCTCTATTGCTTGAGAGGTGAAGAGATTCTAAAATGCCAAGGCACATGACCCTGGGCAAGACTGAAGAGAGAGAACTTTGCAAGTCTTGAAAAGCAATTTCAAATTATTGGAGAACAAACTCACCTGAGGGATGGTCACAGCTGTAGAATGCTGTTTTCATTTCTGTTACATCAGTTACTTTGCCTTGATTTAGATCACAAAGGCTTATATGAACTTGGAATCTTAGAGAGTAAGAAACCTCAGAGGCCATCTAGGGCTCACCCTTATTACTTTACAGATGATGAAATAGGGCTAGAGAGTGTCTAACCTCTCTATCTGTTATCATGTTGATGTAGTAATTTATACAATCCTCATTCTTTTTAAAAGTCTTACTTTTCTGTCTTGTCTGTGTATGTATATGTGTGTGTGTGTGTGTGTGTGTGTGTGAGAGAGAGAGAGGGAGAGAGGGAGGGAGATGGGATAAGCATAATCTTTAGAATGATAGAATTAGCATCTTAAGAAAGAGGAAATTAATTTAAAAGTTTGATTCACTGTAACAGCGCCAATCTGAAGCAAACTGTGCTAAAAGGCAGGGGGTTGGACCTAATGACCTTTTGAGGAGCCATGCACCTTTAGGGTCAGGGATTCTATGATTTCCATACAAACCTCCGTGAAAGAGTGATAAGCAGAGTTTCACCGAGAAGTAGAGAGTGTCAGAGCTGGCATAAGCCTCAGACATCAGCTAGTCCAGTTTCCTCATTTTAAAGATGACAAAGCTGAGAACGAGGAGATGAAGACAAATGTCTAAGGCCACACCATTCTAATGAGGGGCAGAACCAGAATGAGAATGAAAATCTTTGTTTATCCCACCGAGTGCCCTCTCCATATCACCAGCACCCAAAGGCAAGTTATTAGCATTAATTCTGGCCAGGATTTACTCTTACCACTAAGCATTTTGGAAGGAGTGGGGAAAATAAAGAGATGGAATATATGCTTTAAATAGACAAAATTGACCATTGCTTCTTTCAATTATAGGTATTTTGACATTCAAGTTTATTTAAAAGTGAAAATAAGACAATATTGCTATTCACAGAGTTGGCTTGTTTGGAGACCTGGTCTTTAAAGCATGGTGAACACTAGTTATTGTTGAAATACTAGAGCTGGAAGAAACCTTAGAAATATCCAGTCTCATCCCTTCATTTTATGAATGAGGAAACTGAGGTCCAGAGAGAAGCGAGTGATCCTTGGATCACACAGTAAGCGTGGGTGATGGGATTCGAATAAATGTCTTCCTGATGACAAGCCCCAGCACACCACCTTCCCCTTTGCCTCTCCACCTTAACTATAGTAGACTATTTTTAGTATAGTATATGGAGTATATAGTATATAATAAATGGAGAAGGGGGCGCCTGAACTGGAAGATGAGGATTCTGGAAAGCTGGGAGGAGGAGGAAATGTATCCTAGGCATGAGGAAGGGTCTGTTTGAATTTACAAAAGCAGGAGATGATATGTATTTGGGGAAAATCTAGGAGGCCAGTTTGGCTGTAATGTAATGTGAAATAAGGCTGCAGAGACAGATTGGTGTCTGATTGTGAAATAGCTTAAATGTCAGATTAAGATGTTTACATTTGATAAGTAATAGGGAATAACCGAAGGTTTTGGGGGAAGAGAGTGACATGGTCAGACCTGTGCCTTAGGAAGATCATTTTATTAGCAGTGATGGAAACAAGACCAATTAAGAAGTTAATAGTATAAGAGGTGTTAAAGGTCATGGGAGTGGAAAGAAAGGAAAAATTGGGGAGCCATTTAATCTAGCTGGAGAGTGGTAGCATGGCCTAGGGAGAGACCTGTGTTCAAGTCTTATCTCTAGCACATCTTAGTTTTGTGACCCTGAATAGGTCACTCAGTGCCTCAGGCAACTCTCTGACTAAACTGCAGAGCAGGAGCAGCTTTGTATTGGTAAAGTCTTCTCAGGAGTTCCCCTATGCCAATGATATCACAGGTCTGGTTACAAAAAAATTCTTTCCACCAATGTTTCTTGCCTTCTTCGAAACTTGGTTGACAGTTCACCAAATCCCAAAGACTTTGCACACTTGTGCTCTCTGCTCAAACTGTACTAAACTTCATCCACTTGTATGTTGCTCAAAAATATTAAATCTTTTATATTTTTGTGGTGTTAATCCCCAACTATTGGCTGGAAGAGAAGGATTAGAGAAGAAATAGTCCTGGGTTTATTAGCCATTTTCCTTTTGAAGCACCCTTACAATAGGATGTTTTCTATTTCTTTTGAATACCTTTCCTTCCCTCCACCCCCTCAACCTACACCAGATGTGACTGATGTGAACTCCTACGTGGAAAGGTGGGGCCCATTGGGATGACCGTTGGCCATTAAAATTAAAATCAGGCCATTAAAATTCTGGAACACTGAATGATCTCTCTCCAACCCCCATTCCCAAGCAGCTTCTACACTTGACAAGACCTGGCTTACCATAAAGCAGGCCTCAACAGCAAGCAGAGTGTAGAATTCATACAAGTATTTCTCAAATTCAAGTATAGAACTGTCTCATTGGCTGTCTGCTTAACTGCTGGGATAGCAGGAGTATGACCTCATTTTGAGTGGGTGCTGAGCTCTGCTCCAGGTTAGAGTGGAACTGGCTCAGAGAGTAATCCTCCGAGTCTTTCAGGTATGGAGATACAAGGCCCAGATCTCCTGGAACCTGAGCAGTGACTCAAAGATGCAGCAAATGAGGGCAGATGTGACTACTAGCTGGTTTCCCAAACTGCTGTGGCTCATCTTTATACTATTAGCCCATAACATCTTTCCACATTCACCAAGGGGACCATTCTGTATACCCATCTCCTTCCTTCAGGTTGCATAGTGCTGTTTTGTGACTACTTTTTCTGCTTAAAGCTGCCTCAGATTTTTCACTTTTACCTCGTTCATCTCTATGTCAGCAGCCTACTATGTGATTTGTCCTGACCTCTCCGTTCCCCATTCCCTCCTTCCTTGGCTCTACAGATCTCTTCCTTGGGAACAAAAATGAATTCACTAGTGGGGATCTGGCAAGGAATCATAGTTTTCAAGGTTTAAACTGACCACTGACTTCTATAGCACAAACTTATCTTTAATATCTGTTATGTATAAATAAAAAGTACTCAGTATAAATAGCAAAGAGTTATGTGGTTAAAGTCCAAGAAAGAACAATTCCCAAATCCTAAATTCAAGCCCACTTTTCACTAGTTTTCTTGGGTCTTGAATTGAGGAAATTTCCTTACCTCCTAGGAGCACTTCTTCACAGCTACCCTCCTCTCTATTCACACCCTAGAAATCCTATCACTTCTGTGAAGTTTTTCTCTAGTCCTCAAAGGATCTAGATCTTAAGCTCCTTGGAGGCAGGGACTGAGTCTCATATAATACTTCTGTTCCTCTCTCCTACAGGAAAGTAGCAAGTAAGACTGCTCAATCACTATTGATTGTTTGAACATTCTCTCTTGATTCAATAGCACCCTTTTGTTTTGCCTGATGCTATCATCCAGATAACTGCACCAATTTCACACTTCATTTTGCTGTGTAAACCCAGCCTTCCTGGGCTAGCTTCTCTGTGGGAATCAGTTAGCCAACTAAGTAATCTAAATGGCCTTGTGGAAAGAGGACATCAAACTGGGCCCTGGCCCTCCCTTTTTCCAAGTACTCAGATGCATATTGGCACCAAATGGCTGATTGGCCTTCAGACTGGAGCCATGTGAACACATCTGGTTTTAGTTCCTAAGTCTACCTCCAAGGACACCCAAACGGTCAAGGGAAATTGAGAGACAGTGGAGGTAAGTACTTATGGTAAGAAGGTAAAGGGGTGCCTTTCTGGCATAGAGGGAAAAAAGAGGCAGGAAATAATGTTAAAAACAAAAACAAAACCTTAGCTACCAGCAGACTAAAAGAAAAAAATTCAAGTACTGAGGCTATTTATATTTTGGGAGCTGAAGCTAAAAATTTGAAATTCTAAAAAGAACCTTAAGGGAAAGTTTAAGATGTGCATAGTAATCGTGGTAAATCATGGTAATCATGGTAAATCCACATACTCCTTTCTCCCATTATTCTTAATTTAAAAAATTAAGGTACTTGGGCATCCAGGGTGACAAAATTTATTTTAATATCCTAATTTGGCTTACTCTGCTTTCTTAAAGATAACTTTACCTCTTACTGCCCCTCCCTTGCCAAAAAAGGTTTTCCTAAGTCCCATGAACTGAGCAAAGGAATCATGGAGACAAACCCTTACCCCCAACTCCTCCACCCCATCCCAAACTCACTTTCGAGTGATTAATTTTGAGTTACTTGATATTCCTGTATGTATACTACTTATATTTTAAAGTGCCAGCCTTATTCCCCATTAAGGAAGCTTTCACAGTAGCCAAACAATATAATGGAATTTTAGAGAAAGAAGGGACTTTTAGGGATCCTCTAGTCCACAGGTTCTTAACTCGGGGTCTGGAAACTTGGTTTTTCTTTATAATATTTTGATATGTGTATTTTATAATTGGTTTCCTGTGTTATCCTATACATTTTATGTATTTAAAAGCATCATTCTGGAAGGGGATCATAGGCTTCACCAAACTGCCAAAAGGGTCAAGGGACACAAAAAACGTTAAGAAGTCTTTCTCTACAGGTGATTTTTTTTATAGATGATTAAAAAAAGAGGCCCAAAGCAGGGGAAAGTATCTTAATCCACAGCATACTGCTAACAGTTTTAATATACAACTCTTTCCAAAGGGTATACATGAGTGTCTATTAATAGATTTTTGTCAGTCCTTCTGGGAGGCACCTAAAATGCTTCTATGATAGTGACATGGTTAGAGAAGAATAGTGCCATTATTTTGTTTTATTGTATTCTCAAGTACCATGTAACAGAGAACTTTAGGCACAAACATAACTGATTTATCTGCAGTTCTATGCTTTATTACCTGAGATCTGGATTATTAAAAAAAAATAGAAATTTAATTATTGTTGCATATGTCACAGGAGAATTAACTGTCAGCTCCCCCTACTTCCCCAACCCCAACATTCAGAACTTCTTTTAAACTGTGATTGTATTTTTAGAAAGAAACCAACCAGTATACAAACCAAACACCAAACCCTGGTGAAAGATATGTGGATTAAAGCAGGGAGGGCACACACTTTAGTTGAACCACCCCCCAAGTCCCACCCTGAGGGTAGTTAGGAACAATAAACATTGGACACTGAAAGCAAGCTGTTAAAGGTCTTCTATCCTCCCAGAAAGCCATCTTGAAGTACTACATTTCCAGAAAGGCAGGCTCATGGTTGTATGCAGCAGTACTTCCTTCCTTTGGTCATTTCTCATCATCACGCCCATAGTTAATAGTCTGTATTGCTTGAGCTATGAGCATAGCCATTTCTCTGGTGCCTGCAGCAACCACTCTGCATGACATGAGATCAAGAGGCCCCCCTGGGGAAAAAAGAAGGCAAGAAAGAAATTGGAAGATGCCTGGTGTCACATTGAACATATTATGTACAATCATGGTTATAGAACTAGATGGAGAGGATTAAAAAAAAAAGTAGAAGGATTAAGTATTAAGGAGTATATATCCATCATTCCTTTATATACCATCTGAATAAAATTTTTTGGCCCTCCCTTCATACCAGAGAAGAAGTCTGAATTTTTTCCTCCAGCGTCACGTACTTTTTTTTTTTTCCAGAGAGCTTGTTAAACATTTTCTAGGATACTTTTGGCTACCTTCATGTTTACCTGTGCACTTTTATTTCATTTCTGTTGTGTATAAAGGAAATGATGGATATATACTCCTTAATACTTAATCCTTCTACTTTTTTTTTTAATCATTATCTAGAAGTTGTCCATTAGGTAAGAGTTGCTGGGCTTTAGCATTTCTGGAGTGAATCAGAGGGCCTGGGTTCAAACCCCATCTCTGATACTTCCTACCTATGCGATCTTGGTAAAAGCTCTTAATCTTCTTGAGCTTCAGTTTCCTCATCTGCAAAATGAAGTATCAGAGATAGGCCAAAAAATTTTATCCAGATTTTTAAGAGTGCAGGGTGAGGGGAGGAACACCCCCCCCCCAGATGTGGAAGGGTTAGTAGAGTAGTTGTGTGCGTGTTTTAAGGGGGAGGGTATGTTACTGATTTCTTTGGATACTGTGTGCCTTTTGGCCACACTTGGTATACATATATATATATGTATATATATCATGGCCACGTCACAGGAATGGATCTGTAAGGATAGTCAGACGGCAGATCTGATTAAAAGCTCTGAGACTATTTCCTTTCTCTACAAGGATATGTCTGATAGGGTCTCAAATGATGTATTTTTATCTCCAGGGAAAAAATGGAAGAGGAAATCTTCTGACAGCTTGAGTTTTAACATAAACCTTGTTAGTAATGACTACATTCCTTATTGGTAATGATTACCAGTAGCTTTGGCTACCCCTATTTGGTTTCACCTTGTTGGAAAGGGCAGCGTTAGAACCCACTTGCCTGGAATGGAACTCCAATCAGGAAAACAGGAAACACCCCACCTGGTACTACTTTACCCTGTTTACATTTTCTTCGATTGCTAGGTAACAAAGGTGAAACAAAGCTAAAGAGGGGGACAGTCACTCACCTGAAGTGTCTATCACAATACCACCTGCTTCCCTGATTATGACAGTGGCAGCCGCTAAATCCCAACAATGCAAGCCAAATTGATAATATGCATCTGCTGCACCAGAGGCTAGGAGGCACAAAGCCAAGGTAGAGCTTCCAATCACACGTACCCTGAATCATCATGAGAAGAGGTACAGAATTATTTGCAATTCTGGGAGAACACACACACACACACACACACACACACACACACACACACACACGAAAAAATCCATGGTAACAAGCTTCAAATTGGATTTTTTCTCTTGACTAGTTTGTGTCCTGATTTCATTAGATGTCATCTGTTTTCCTGTAATATGCATCCAATAATTAAGAATGAGTCATAATTTCTCTATTAACAGGCCCTAGATTATGCCATGGCAGCAATGTGGTGGTGTGGTATGTGGTGCTAGGTCTGGGTAAGAGTCAGCTTCAGATCTTCCCAACTGCTACTACTGCTGGCCTGCTACATTAGCTCGGATTTGGTCTAGGCATTTTTGTATTGACTTCTATGTGTGTCTGTTGTCTTTTCCAATGGAATATGGGCTCCTTGAGGGCAGGGACTGTTTCATTTTTGACGTTGTATATTGTCCAGCACAGAACCTGGTACAATGTAGGCACTTAATAAATACTTGTTGATTGAATGACTTCAAATCCTTCCTTTGGCACTTATGAGCTGTGCAACCCAGTGGGCAAATTACTTTACCTCTTTGAACCTATCTCTTCATCTAAAAATGGGGCTAACACCCACAGCATCTATTTCACAGGTTACAAATGGGATAATATATGTAAAGAGCTTTGCAAATTTTGAGTGCTACATACATATCAGTTACTATTATGAAGAATTTGAGGTTTGAAGGGAGAATGGCATCTGTGTAGAACTCCCTCAGCCTTCAAAGTACTTTCCCTAATTGGTCATTAGGTTAATGGTCTGATGAAATCTTAGGTCTAGCAATAAATCCTGTGATTTCCAACAATCACCTAATTTCATAAAACTATGGAAATCTAGGCCAAAAAGGAAGAGAAATTATCACATGTGTCTTCTTTCTGACACTTGGCTGGATGTGGCCTAGGTAATCCCTGACCTTATCGATCTTTAGGGATAAAGTGCCTCCTAAAGCTTCAGCCTGGTCTGCATTATTCTGATATAGCCCCTTTGTGGTTTTCCCAATTGGAATCCCTGGTGAGTTTAGCAAGTTTGGACAACTGGTGCTTTTCTGCTCAATTATAGGGCATTCTGGGAATTAAAAGTTCAACCCTAGAATAGAAAACTCATACCCATGAGCTTTGGCATGGAGTAACCTCTCCATGTTACTGAAGAACAATTTCAGAGTATCAGGATCACGCTTTGGACCAATTTCTGTTAAAACCAAGGCCTTTGAGAGATCTGTAATAATAATAATGATAATAATAAAAAAAAGCATACCCAGATTTAGACAAGCTGATGCAGAATAAAATGAGCAGATTTAGAAGTATAACATATATAATAATTAGAACATAAAAAAAGGAAATGGAACTCTATGTGATTGAAAAACTAATAATGATCCCACCACGTAGAAAATGAAACCATACAGTCCTCCTTTAGTTAGAGGTGGGGGACTACAAGGTCAGAAGGTTGCATACTTTGTCAGATGTAGTTACTATATCAGGTTTTGTTGATAGTGTTTATTATCACAAGAGAGGTTTCAGTTCTGGAGTAGGAGTGGGGTATATCCACAAATGACAGTGATGAAAAAACAAATGACATCAATAAAACTTATTTTTAAAAAATCCCAATCAAGCAGAAAAATCATTGAGAATCTTGACAATTTCTCCCAACTGAAATGCCTTTTTTTCTTTCTCAAACTTAACCAGTTTATCAGAACTTTCAGTCTCTTATTCTTCAGAAGAATAAGCCTCATTCATTCTAGAATGAGAAATTTAAAACTAGGAACTCATTTTCACGTAGAATATGTATGCTTAATTGCTTTGCTTAAGAACAGAGATACAGTGAAGATAAATGAGATAAAAGGAAAAGCCGCCTTGTCAATTTAGTTACTGCCTTCATAATTATTAATTATTTCAAAGGCTGCTTTCTTTTTTTAGATTGCAAGGGGAAACTGCTTTACTATGCTTTTTCCTAGGGATAATAATAACACCTACCTTCCAGGGTTATTGTAAGGATGAAATGAGATAATAATTGTGAAGTCCTTAGCACATAGCACTATAAAATATTAGCTTATTATTATTACTTCATTTAATAAATAATGTGAAAAACCTTGCAAACTTTGGCAGTGAACTAAAAAATGACTGAACTTCCCACCTTCTGAGACTCTGAACAAGTCAATTCTTCTTTCTGGGGCTTAATTTCCTCAGCTGCAAAATGAGGGGGCTGGATGAAGTGGCCTCTACAAACACTTCCCCTCTAGCTCCACATCTATGCTCCTTCTCCTAGATACCATTTTTTTTCTCTTTATCTTCATGAACCTGTGGTATCTAGAAGAAAAATGACTCCAAAAGTCATCACCCAAATCCCACGTCAGACCTATCTTCACAATGAGGAAACAGCTACCCTTCAAAGATTTTTTCTATGTGCTACCATCATGCAGGTGGAAATGTTTCTTATAGAGAATGCAGCATTTTTCTTTCCTGAACAGTCACTTTTTCAGTCTGTGTCCTAATACAAAAATATCTCGAGGCTTTTTATTCAATGTAATTAGATATAACAAATGCAAGGGACCATTTTTGAAAGAGTAAGTTTCCAAAGGTGTATATTTAAGATTTGTCCTTCAGAACAGGGAATGACTACAGACAATCAGATTAGATACATCCACTCTCTTTAATAGAAGCTACAGATGCAATCAAAGATAGAGAGATGGATTGATGAAAGAGATTGCAGGTGGGTGGCACCTAAGACTCTGCTACGTTACGTTTCTGTAGTGATTAAAAAGCAGTTTGTACTTGGCATTTCTCATACCTACACCCAAAAGCAAGGGAATTTAGCACATATTGCATGTCCTATCAGGCCTAATTGCTCAGGCACAATGTAGCCTAACCAGGTGTGTACTTAGATTATAATAAAATAGACTTGCTGCTCCATGAAAAATTGATGCAATTATACTTATTTTAATGAACTCAATTATATTTCAGCATTATAAAGCAATTTAACAAGGAAGCAGACTGAGTATATGAAGACAGTTTCCTCTCAAAATGTATCTCACCTGGGAATTCGCTACCTCTGGAATTTCTGGGACTCCTACTTTCTCACCTTCAAGCTTTTCTATAAAATGCTTGCTCCTGCACAGGATGCCAGTTGCCTTCAAGGGCTCTGAGTTATTCAATGCCAGACACACCCAGAATTTTTCTGGGATCCATATTCTGTAAAAACCCAGCACCAGGAAGCCTTGTAGCTGAATCTGCCATTGCAACAACAGACAATGGAAAAGACTAATTCCAGGTGCTGATCGTAATCTCCCAATGCTCCATCTGGATAACATCTCAGTTCATTTATAGACACCTCACCCTGCACTCACAAGGTATGAAGCTGTGTTGATGTTTTCTTAGAAAAAGTCCTCCTTTCAAATCACATTTCTCTCTTTCCTGTGGTACTGTTCAGTTCATGGTTTTTTGTTATTTTGTTTTCCCCTTAAGGGCATGGTTCTAAGTCCATCTTTCAGTAATGCTTTTAGCCAGAGGCTCAGTACACCAGTTAGACCCATTTCTCAAACTATTCTAAATGATCTTTAACCCACAAATCTTAGTTCATGCCTTGGCAGGTATTACTGTAGCTACACAGCTAGGCTAATGGCCCTAGGAGAATGATTGAGGGGGAAGGTGGGGAAATAGAGAGATTGGCCTTGAAAACCCATTTGGGACAGGAACAGAACACCAGGGCTATGCTAGGACAGGTGCAATGCTTGGTAGAAATATCATGCTTCTACAAATAAATGCTCTCCACCTTACACCCAACTTCCAAAAGTCCTCCACATTAGTGTATCTGGAAGTACATGGCCGCCCTCTTCCTCCACCCAACTGAGAGAGAGAGAGAGAGAGAACCCTTAGTATCTTTCCTATCCACCTCTAAATCACTTCAGATAATAACCAAAATGCCTTGGGTATACAACACAACCTGGTGGCTGTGGTGCATTCATCATATTCTGGGGTCCCATCCCCCCTACACACTGCTTCCTTCTCCCTGAGGGAAATTTGCATTTGCCATGATCTTCCCTTTTCCTCATTAATGATTGACGGCTTAATTCATTGTTCCTCAGTGTCAGTCTGTCCCTCTGTCTCTCTCTCTTTCATATGTACACACACCTCCTTTTCCCCTTTTCTTCCTCTATCTCTTTCAATTCTTGCTTAGTTATATCAGGAAAACCTATTTTTCTCTTCCCTATCTTCCCTCATTCCATTTGTGGCCCCAAAATTAACCTAGACTAAGTGTATGCATAGTATTAGTGATACAACTTCATCAGGGAAAAGTCAAGTCACATATTTTGAAGTTAAATTAGACAATAGAGGGTGTCCCCAAAATCTTAGTGCAGTTTTAAGCTACTAAAAAGCTTTAATATAAAATCCTAGGCTCTCAGAGTTAGAAGGGATCACAGAGGTCATTTCGTCTAATCTGCATCTGAGCAGAAATTTTCTACAACATCCCTGATAAAGTCATCCAAATTCCTGGAAGTCTCCAATTGGCAGCCAATTCCACTTTTAAACACTTCTAATTATTAGGAAGTTTATTTTTTTTAATAGAATCAGCTGGATTCTGCCTCTTTATGATATCCATTTTTTGCTCCTAGTCTAGTTCTGACTTCTTGTATCAAGTAAAACTACCTAATCCCATACTTGAGTCAGGAAGTCCTGAATTCAAATCTAGTCTCAGATACTTACTAGCTATGTGACTCTGGGCAAGTTACTTAATCTGTCTGCCTCAGTTTCCTCAACTGTAAAAGGAAGATAATAATAGCACCTACCTCCCAGGGTTTTTGGGTAGATCAAATGAAAAAGAGAGGAGTGGGGGCGAGTAGGTACACAGGTGGAAGAAGAACCATGACAGTACAATGTCAAGGGGAACAAGGGAAGATAGGAGATCAAGAAGTTGATGCCTACAACTGTTCCTAGGGACTGAGAGCTAGTACAAGAGAGAGGCTCATGTCTAATTCAGTTTACAACAGGGCAGCTCCTTCCTCTCTATAGTGGAAATTGCTTCTTGTCCCTTATTGAAAATAGAGATTAGATAGAGCAGAGATGTGCTGGAATCAGTGAGCATTTACATTTCAGAACTAGGCAAACACTACAAATCAGGAGTTGTTTTTTTTTTGTTTTATTGATTTTCTAGACTTAAGGAAATGATAGAAAAAATGTTAATAATGCAAGCTGAACTTTAAAATTTGTCCTGAGTTTTTTTTTTTAAATGAGTCAGTTGTTTTTTGTTTACTTACCAGTACACCACTTGGACAGGGCATCCCAGCCCTTGGGTCTGGAAGGAAGCTAATGAGAGGCAGGAAAGATGAAAAGACTGACTTCTCCCACCTCCCTCCAGGCTTCCAGAGTTACTCCTGGAGATGTAGATCAAAAACTTTCCCTTCTTTGCCATGCAGACTTAAGGGAAGTAAGCTAAGTGGTATGATTGAAAAGAATGCTTCCTGCCAAAAATTCCTCCTAATATTACATAAAACACAACAAATTTTCTATCAGAGTCATCTATAAGAGAAGAGGATCAGTGATTCATCTTTTAGTGTGAATTAGCTCAATAATTTTGCTTCATTGACATCTAGCTGAGATGCCTGAAGGAACAGAATTTTTAACGTGGGGAAAGGCAAGAATGAAAGGTATGGTTGTTGCATAAAGCATACAAGAGATGTTAGATTTGAGGGTTGGCAAGTACAAGAGTCCTGGGTGTTTGGTGGCAGAGAAGAGAAGATATGAAATACAGATTAGTCCAGGAGGCCAAGTGCGGCCCTTTGACTGAATCCAAACTTCATAGAACAAATCCCTTTAATAAAAGGATTTGTTCTGTCAAACTTGGACTTAGTCAAAAGGCCCCACTCAAGGACCTAGAAGGCCACAGATTCCTCACCCTTGGGTTAGTCAGTCATTCAACTAGCATTTATTATGTCCCTACACTGTGCTAAGGTCTGGGGATTCCAAGAAAGGCAAAATCAGTCCCTGCTCTCAAGAAACTCAAAGTCTAATGGTGGAGGGGGCAGCTAGGTGGCGCAGTGGATAGAGCATCGGCCCTGAAGTCAGGAGGACCTGAGTTTAAATCCAGCCTCAGACCAAACATTTGACACGTACTAGCTTTGTGACCTCGGGCAAGTCACTTAACCCCGATTGCCTCACCAAAAAAAAAAAAGTCTATTGGGGGAGATAACATGCAAACAACTATGTTCAAACAAGATAAATTCAGGGTAAATTGAAGGTAAGCTCTGAGGGAAGGCCGTAAGGTGAAAGAGGACTGGGAAAGGCTTCTTGTGGAAAGTGCAATGTTAGCTGAGACTTGAAGGAAGCCAAGAGGTGGAGAGATGAGGAAGGAGAGCATTCCAGGCACAGGGTATGGCTAGAGAAAACATTTGGAGTCAGGAGATGGAGTCCTATGTCTAAGGAACAGCAAGCAGGTAGCCTGGAAAGGTAGGAAGGGGCTAGGTCCACAGAAAACAGGGTGGAGAAGAATGAGGAAAAGGAACAGGCATCTAAGGGGAGTGTAAATCAAATCCCAGGGTAGTATAGGAAAGTGAGGGCGTAGTGCTACTGGCTGGCATGAAAGTAAGAAATTCTTCCCTGCAGGGAACGATAATTACCCACCAAGTATTACTCACAAAATTCAGTGATGGTAGGCTGCTAGTGGTATAAACAGAACTGAACACAACAGGAAGTCTGTGTGCCAAAGTGATTGAGGAATTGCATTTGCCTTAATGTACGTATGTGGCTGTAGCAGAATGGAAGTTTCTGGATCCCCACCCTCAAAGCAGCAGTCCAAGGGGTCACTTGGAGCAACCAAACACCTTCCTTGGGAAGGTGGTCCTGGAAATTCTAGTAGGCATTTGGGGCTGCAGGATTAGGAAAACAACAGGACTAAAGAAACAGTGCCCTCCTGCTTCCTCAGATGATAAGGGGATAGAGCATTTATAGAGCACCTACTATGTGCCAGGCACTGTGCTAAGTATTTTACAAATGTTATCTCATTTGGTCCTCACAACAAGGCACTACTATGACTCCCATTTTACAGTTGAGGGAATTGAGGCAAACAGAGACTGAATGACTTGCCCAGCGTCACCCAGCTATTAAATGTCTGAAGCTGAATTTGAACTCTGGTCTTCCTGACTGCATGCCCAGTGCTCTATTCACTGCACCATCTATTACGATAAATGCCTTTGTCCTCTGGCCTCGGGATGGGAGATGGAGAAAAAGAATATTGAAGAGGAAGAGAGAGAATCGTTAAAAAAGCAAATGGGAGTGGGATATGGAAACAGAACTGCTGAAACTGAGAAAGCTTGTTTCTATATGTAATCCCTGTAATGAGAAGACCCAGCTCCTTCAAGGACTCCAGCTAGAGCAGAGGTTCCTCACTCTTTTTTGGGTCTTGGACCTCTTTGACCATCTGGTGAAGCCAATTGAGCCCTTCACAGAATAATTTTTCCCCCCCTTGGCTAGTCAATGGGGTTAAGTGACTTGCCCAGGGTCACACAGCTAGTAAATGTCAAGTGTCTGAGGCCAGATTTGAACTCAGGTCCTCCTGACTCCAGGGCTGGTGCTCTATCCACTGCACCACATAGCTGCTCCCAGAATAATGTTTTTAAATGCACACACAAAAAATAGGATTACAAAGTAAACCAGTTAGCATTGTGGCACAACCTGTAGTCCCCTAGTGCTGGGGAGACTGAGGCTAGTGGATTGCTTGAGTCCATGAATTCTGACCTGCAGTAGAATCAAAATTGATCCATCAGGTGTCTGCACTAAGTCCAGCATCAATATAGTGAGCTCCTGGGAACTGATGGAAACATGCTGCTCAAGAATGGGTGAACGAGCCCAGTTCAGGAAAAACAGAACAGGTTAAAACTTCCACGCCAATCAGTATTGGGATCAGGCCTCTGAGTGGTCACTGCACTCTCAACCTGGGTAAGACAAAGGGTCCCGATCTCAAAAACAGTAACAGCCACAGGAACAAAAGAAATAGATTATGTTGAAATCCAGTTAGAAAAAAAATGTTTAAGGTCATGGATCCCAGGTTAAGAACCCCTGGAAAATAACTCCATGGGGCATGCTTGGAGTTGGGTTCCTTCTGGCATCACATCTGTCTTGGGTCTTTCCAGGGTACCATGTGTGTTCAATCAGGGCTAAAAGACCTGGCGCCTCAGGATGATACAGTGAACCCCAGATGGTTCTTTGGTACCTGATAAGGGCATTGAGTGGAGGTAGATGTTTCATAATTGGCCACTACCCTAGGAAGAGCCACCCATGTACAAGACCTTAAAGGAAGTGACTCCATCCTCTTGACCTTTCTCTCTTCCTATCTGCAGAGCATGTCAGGACTCTTCAAGCCTCTCCCTGGAGGGGGTAGGAACCTTCCCAAACCTTACCAGGAATGACAAAACTGATTACACATAGCAGTTAGGATATTTATTGGTATAGGTAAGCCTGAAACTGGGTCTGCCAGCCCTAACTGACTTTACTGGTAAGGGGAGGGAAGAGAGAGAGAGAGAGAGAGGCAGAGACAGAGACAGAGACAAAGAGAGAAAAAGAGAGAGAGAGAGAGACAGAGTGAGATTGGCAGCCTAGGTCTGGGAAACTGACTCAACAGTGTTAGGAGGAGCTGGTAATGGATACTTCAGAGCTTATATAGACTACATGAGGATTAAAAAAATGTTTAAAACCCCCTAAAATGGTTCAATCCTTTAAGCTTGCAGTCTAACCTTGCTCAAATATTTTACATAGAAAACATATTAATTATGGGAAAAAAGCTAAGTTTCTGATCAGTCCTTGCGTAAGTCATCACAAATTGTTCAGATTAAGAGCAGTTGTCACTAATAAACTTTCATGATGGGCATCTGCCACTGACATTCCCACCAAGGCGTTGATTTAAGCAGAGTCTGACTTCTGCTCAACAGCACTAGTAACTAAATAAGTATTGGTGTGTAGATTTTTATTTAATCTTGAAGATGAGAGATTATGAGCTCAAAGTAGATTGAACCAGGCAATTATTGGAGGGAGTAGTGACAGGATAGGCATGTTAGTGAAGTTAGGTTGTTCAGTGGATAGAGAACTGGACTTGAGTTCAAATTTAGCCTCAGATATTTATCAGTTCTGTGACCCTGGACAAGTCATGTAACCTCTGGCTGTCTCTGTTTCCTTAACTGTAAAATGGGGATCATAATAGCACCCACCTCACAAGGTTGCTGTGAGGATCAAATGAGATAATATTTGTAAAGTGCTTATTCCTGGCACATAGTAGGTGCTTAATAAATGTTTATGCTCCCCCCAGCAGTGTACTGTTATTAGAATGGTAAATTGGTTCAGCTCTTCTGGAAAAAATATTTGGAACTCTACCCCAAACTTTACTACATACTATTAGACTTAGTAGGTATCCCAAGGAAATTAAGGACTGAGAAAAGGACTTCTAAATATACAGGCATATTTACAGCAGTGCTTTTTGATGTGGCAAAGAACTGGAAACAAAACAGAAACCTGTCAACTGAGACATGGCTAAACAAATTGTGGCATATGAAAACAATGGAATTTTATGTGGCATGAGAAATGAGGAATGTGACAGATTCAGAGAAATATGGAAAGATTTATATGAACTAATACAGAGGAAAGTGAGCAGAACCAGGAGAATGGATTACAAGCAAATTTCCAACTACTCTGAAAGACTTCAGAATTTGGATCAAATGAGATAATATTTGTAAACCACTTTGAACAGTTCCTGGCACATAGAAGGTGCTTAATGAGTAGTTGTTCCTTCCCAACCCTACCTAAACCAGACAGCCAAAAATCATGATGTCAAATGAACAATAATGAAATAAATCTGGTATCTCTTGATAGCAAGGTGACAGATTAGAGACATGGAAACAAGTGTGTATTCTCAGATATGGCCAATGTTTTGATTTGTTTTGATGAGATTTATTTGTCATAGGAGTAGGCTTCTACATGGAAGAAGGCATAGAGGGGTCTGAAAGAAATCAAAGTAGTTTGAATCTACATAAGGCTGGTTGGCAAAATTCTGTTTTAAAATATAGAACTGGCTTGATCACCAGCTTGTTGGAAACAAACCAGTTCAGAAAAAGAGCTGAATCATCAAGCCATAGCAGAGATTTCAGTCATTGTAATGAAGTCCCTTTTCTATGAGAGGTGTCAAAATAAGCATGTTCCTTTCCCATTTCCTCAATCAAAATGCAAACTCAACGAACAAAGCCCACACCAACCTGTCTCTCTGGATACTCGAAGTCTTTGTTGGTTACAAAATGCCCCTTGACCCCGTCTGCCAGTGTATAATCGTTCTTCAGTGCAGTGGTAAATCACTCCAAATTCAAGCTATAATTTTTTTAAAAGAAAAAAAAGGAAGGTTAGTAAAATTATATCTCACCAGAACAAGTGGGAAATGAATGATGGTGATTACAAAGATATGGCTGGGAATAATACTGTGATAAATAAAATATAAGTTGACTTTCATAAATTTCAGTAGGAACTCAAAAATTAGAGGAGAGTCATGGAGACAAGTTTTTGGGATTCTCAAAAAGCATAAAGTTCGGGGCAGCTAGGTGGCGCAGTGGATAGAGCACCGGCCCTGAAGTCAGGAGGACCTGAGTTCAAATCTGGCCTCAGACCAAACACTTGACGCGTACTAGCTGTGTGACCTTGGGTAAGTCACTTAACCCCAACTGCCTTACCAAAAAAAAAAAAAAAAGCATAAAGTTCACATTTAAGATGCTCTGTAAAGACAAAATTAGACCAATTCTAGTCTAATCATCTATTAGGCTACGAGTTCCTTGAGAGCAGGGCTTATCTTTTGCCTTTCTTTGTATCCCCAGTGCTTAGCAAAGTGCCTGACACAAAGTAGGCATTTAATGTTTACTATTAACTACCAAAATAACCAATAACTGGTAAATAAATTTCTTGCAAAGTTTTCATTCTTCAGAAAGGTCTCATTTTTTTTTTCTGTTAAAAAGAAAGTTGCTGACTAAATGCCCTTAGAATTGCTGAAGTGTGAAGAATGTACCCCTATCGCCAACCATAACATAGAAAATGTTATTTAAATGTCAACAAAGAGTCACAAAGTACAAAGACAGCCCTATGAAGGTGTTGGGTGGGGGAAGTAAGGAGGAGGACAAGGAGGGAGAAGTAAGGAGGAGATATAAATGTCTCATCTGGTCAAAAGGCTAAAAATCCAGTCACAAGAAAAACCTCCTAATATCCTGAAAAGAAATAGAAAATGATAAAGTTGTTTTATGTCAACATGCTTTGGACACATTTCCCCCTTTGTTTTCTAGGTAGAGGGCAGTGGTAAGGCAGGTGTAAAGGAAGGCAGGAAAGTCTGTCACACCCTAAAAACAAATATGGAAATGTATAAGTCTAATACCTGGTGAGAGGCCAACAAACCTCAGAAACCCTTCTGGTTTTGCCCAGTTTGGAATGAGTCCATACTAAAACAAATACTTATTCTGTTCAAGTCTTGGTCTACGATATCCACAGGGAGTCACTTTCATTCTATGGTTGATTCGTGGTATTCAGTCTCGAGTAGATCTGGCCTGACCCCAAGAGTGGTAAATGTAAGCTAACTCTCAGTTTTGTACCACAGCAGACTCACATACACAGATTAGGCCTAGAATTGATTTGGCCTCTTGAGAGACTTTTGGCACTTGGTTCCAATTCCAGCCTTTCTCTGGATCAGAGGGGAGGGCCTAGTCTTGTGATCTGGAGTCTAAGCGTGAACCAGATAATCCCTTTATGGGTAGGGAGGACAAGGGAAAGTTCACTACAACACCTCAGCACTGTAGAAGGTTTCATGTGGGACTTCTTGTGGAAATCTATAACAATTGCTTTCAAAAAGTCACTCAGAATATTAAGAAGGCATCAATCAGCTCTGAGAAACAGCTGTGAAAAGACCCTGCAAAATTGTCAAGCCTAAGGTATTTTCACTGCTACTTGTTGCTCAGTCATTTTTCAGTCATGTCTGACTCTCTGTGACACCACTTGGGGTTTTCTTGGCAGAGATACTAGAGTGGTTTGCCATTTCCTTCTAGAGCTCATTTTACTGATAAGGAAACTGAGGCAAATAGAGTTAAGTGACTTATGCAGGGTCACACAGCTAGTAAGTGTCTGAGGGTAGATCTGAACTTGGGTTTTCTTGACTTCAGGCCTGGTGCCCTATCCACTGTGGCACCTAGATGCCCCTGCTGCTCCTGTAACACTTAAATTACATCACAGTAAGGCATCTTCTGATGACAAGATCTGGCTGACTCAGTATCTTTCCTATGGGTGTATAGTATGTTATACTTCATTTTATTTATTGAAATTGCACACTATACTGTTGTGTCAAGTATAATATTTTAAACACAAATAATCAATTCTTTTTTTTTTCTATTTCAATATTAACATTCTTTCTTATCTTGACAGCATGGCATAGTGAACAGAGAGCCAACCTCAGAGCCAGAAAGACCTATGCTCAAGTTGTGCTTCTGATACAGACTGGCTGTGTGATCCTCAGCAAGGCATTTAACCTCTCAGGGTCCCAGACAACTCAAAGGATTTGACTTACAGAGAAAGTGTTAATCTACATTGATTGAAGAAATTTCCTCATCTGGGAGTTCCCTGTACCAATGAAATGTGTCCTGTATCTATCCCTACTTCTACTCATCTTAATCGTTAGCTCTTGGGAAGTAGCAATGCTTTCACCCCAGTGCAATCAGACATCATCCTGGGAAGCAGTCCCTTTAGAGATATAGCCAGGCAACTGCTCCTGTATGTGCTACAGCCACAGCTACTGAAGATCCAGAAAAGAAAGTTCTTGCTACCAAAGTCCATGGCATTGTCAAATGGTTCAATGTCAGAAACTGATAACATTTCATCAGCAAAAATAACATTAAAGAAGAGGCATTAATATCCACATTGCCACAACACCCTAAGGATCATGGGATTTTTCATTTGACTTGCAGATGAAACCTTCTATCTGTGTTGTCTTTCCCATTAGAACATGAGCTTCAAGTTTTACTCTCTCTCTCGCTTCTTCTCTTTCTCTCTCTCTCTCAAGAATTCACAAATGACACAAACACTTAAAGGAAAGACATGCATCATCATTAGCATGTTTTTCCTGGGTTTCATTTTTATTGACTTCCTCAAAATCAGCATGGCTTTTTCCTCCCCCCTCATCCTCCTTGACCTCTTTTTTGAAACTCTGGCTATTATCTCTTCTCAGCTTTTCATGACACTGCTGTCTCCTGATTTTCCTCTTTCCTCTCTGACATTTCTCCTGTATCCTACACTGATTCACAGACTCAGAATTAGAAGGGGTCACAGAGGCCATCTCATCTAGCCCATTCTTGAATATATCTGCATTACAAAGACATCAGAGGTTCTTAACCTCTTTTTATGTGTCATGGACTTTTTAGGCAATCTAATGAAGCTGATGGACCGCGTCACAGAAATGTTTTTAAATTCATAAGATAAAATACATAGGATTATAAAGAAAACCAATTTTATTGAAATATAGTTACCAAACTATTTTTCAAAAATAACTTCATGGATCCCAGATTAAGAAAAAGTGCTTCAGAACATGTATTTCAAGAGGTTATCAATCTTTTGTATGCTACTTAAAGACCTCAAGTAAGGGAGGAAACACTGTCTCCAGTGCCAGACTAATTCCACTTAAAGATTGTTAAATCTCCCCTTAGATTAGGTCTAAATCGACCTCTTTGTGATTGCCAACCATTGCTTTTCATTCCACCCTCTAAAGTAAAGAAAATCAAGTGTAATTTCTCTTCCATGGGGCTTAGAAATCACTGTTCTTTCAGTTCACTGGAGAGTTGTTTAGGATCATATTATTTGGTCTGCATAAGTCTTCAAATGACCATTTTTGATTATAGTTTTTATTGCATTGTGATTAGTAAAAAATATCTACTTTTCTGCAATTATTCATGACTTTTTAAATAACCTTGTACATTGCTGATTTTTGTGAAGTGCTATGAAAAGTTTAGGAAGTATATGTACTTTATATTTCCCATTCAGAAGTTATCAGAAGTTTATTACACGTATTTTTCTAAAATTTTATTCAGAGCTTTAACTTCTTTATTATCTTTTTGTTATATTCATCTAAATCTGAAAGTGGCATATTAAGCATCCTCTATAATTATTTGTTTTACTGCATATTTCTCTCTATAGTTCAACTAACCTTTATATATTTAGATACCAAACCATTTCTTGCATTTTAATTCAGTATTGATATAATTTCATTTATCTTTTGTTCCTGTAAACATACCGTAATTCCTCTGCCTATCTCTTTTAACCATGTCTATTTTTATTGTTGCCTTTCCTGAGAACATGGTTACCACTTATGGTCTTTTTTTTGGGGGGGGGGGTTTACATGAAGCATAATAGATTCTACTTCAGTCGCTCATTTTAACTCCATATGAATTTTTAAAGTTTCAGGTGTACTTTTACAAACATATTATTGTATTCTGCTTTCTAAGCCATTCTGCCACCTTCTTCCATTTTGTGGGTGAATTACTGCAATTTATATTCAGGAATATGATTGGTATGTGTGTTTTCCCTTCCAAAATATACTATTATAATATTCTTTCTATTTACCTTGATTTCTTCTGCTAGGTCTCTATATTTTAAGCTATCTTTTAAATCAATGAAAATCTACCTACTTCTCCCTCCCCCAAGAAAACAAAACCCATATTACAAATGTATGTGTGTGTGTGTGTGTGTGTGTGTAAATATAGTCAAGCAAAAAAAAATTCACTCCTTGGCCATGTTCAAAAAAATGACTCAATCTGCATTCTGACTACATCACCTCTTTGACAGGAAATAGGTAGCATGCTTGATCATAAGTCCTCTGGAATTGTGGTTGGTCATTACATTGATCAGTTAAAAAGTCAGAGTTCAAAGTTGTTTGTCTTTACAATAATGTTGTTGTTATATAAATTGCTCCCTTAGCTGAATTAGTTCATACAAGTCTCCCCAGGTTTCTCTGAAACCATCTCTTTCATCATTTCTTATGGCATAACAGCATTCCATTATATTCATATACTATACTTATTTAGCCATTTCCCAATTTGTGCTCTTTAGATTCTAATTCTATGCTATCATAAAAAGAGTTGCTGTAAATATATTTATACATATAGTTTCTTTTCCTATTTCTTTGATCTCTTGAGGGTTTAGATCAGGTGGTAGTATTTCTGGTTAGCACAGTTTAATTATATTTGGGGCATAGTTCTAAATTGCTTTTTAGAATGTCTATACCAGTTCATAGTTCCACCAAAAGTGCATTAAAGTACTTGCTTTTCCATAGCCACATCAGCATTTGTCATTTTTCTTCTTTGTCAACTTTGTCAATCTGATGGGTATGACATGGAACTTCAGAGTTGTTTTAATTTGCAATCATGTGATTGTCAGTGATTTAGAGCATTTTCTCATGTGACTATTGATAGCTTGGATTTCTTCCTCTGAAAAGTGACTGTTCATATTCTTTGACCATTAATCAATTGGGGAATGGCTTTTATTCTTATAAATTTGAATCAATTCCTGATATACCTTAAAAAGTTGTGTCTATATTTTGAAAGTTTTTCATTCTATGTAGTTTGGAGATTATGAATTATGATATAGCTATATCAATTAGAAACAATGCTTTTATATTTTTATGTGTCAATGCTGTATTTGAGTGATCGTGGGCAATGATTCCAGTATAGTTTAGTTGTTGAATTTTCAAAGTAATTTTAAGGTCTGTATTTGCAGTATTGGGACTTGTCATCTTTCATTCCATGAAAGAATGAGTTTCTATATGTAACTGAAGCCCACAAGACCATGTTTTGCTAAGAATAAGTAGGTGCTAAATTTCTGCTACCTGTGGTATAATTTTTATGGTTATGATTTCTTTGTATAATCGGTATTTCACAATAAATTCAGATTCCTTAAGGATATATCTATAACTGTTGGTAGTAATGACCTGGTCCTAAATTACTATCATAAATCCCTTCATGTCTATAAACAAATTCATATGACTTAGTTATTTGTTCAACCCTTTTTTGTTGAAATATCTTATGGAGTTCATGGTTGAGTTCATTTGGATTTTGCCCCATGGCAAACTTTTTGATTCCATGCTTGCATCTAAACCTGTGAAATAGCTAATCAATAGCATCTACTATTGATTAATGACATGATTGTTCCAATATTATTTCCTTAAGCTTTTAAATTGTCATACACTTTGAGAACATCTTTCAATCCTCTACCTTAGACATCTTAAGTTGATGTGTCCTTTGTTTTGTTAATATTGTAAGGGGTTTTGATAGTATACTTTCCAAATCTATTATAGTCCATTTTGAAGTTCCAAAAAATACATACCCAGACTAGAATCATGTAGATATTAATTATATTAAATATGTTCTTTCCATTAAGTTTTGATTTTATGATGGTACTAAGTCTCTTGATATAGATAGCCACTGCTTTTCCTTGATGATGTGATACTCTATTTGTCTTACCTGGTGGAGGAGACCACGGTGTTTTTAAGTATCACCTTCATCCTTTGGTTCAATTTAACCTCCAAAGTCAAGCTCCAAGAATTCAGTATTTGTTTTTAGTGTACATTAAGAACTTTATATTTATCAAGTCAAAACAGATATTTTAAGTCATTGGAGAAATATTTCACAAAATGGAGAAGCTGTCTAAATTATTTTTCACTAGAGTCACATAACTTTAGGGCATCTATATACGTCAAGAGACTAATAAGATGTTTTGATGTGATGATTAACAACCATATGAAAGAATGCTCTGAATCATTAATAATAAAAGAAGTGCAAATCCAAACAACCCTGAGGATTCATTCATTCAGGAAATTGGCAAAGATGACAAATTATGGGAGCAGTCAACGGGGAAATACTAATGTGCTGACAGGAACCCTGAGAATTGGTCCAACCATTCTGAAAAGCAATTTGGAGTTATGCAAAGAAAATGAGTAAAATCTCCATGTCCTTTGATTCAAAGATTCCACTGTTAGGCATACATCTCAAGTAGGTCGATGACAGAGGAAAGGCCTTTATTTATAGCTATTTTTGTTGTAACAAAGAACTAGAAACACAGAAGATTCTCATTGATTGAGGACCGGCTAAACAAGTTGTAATGGAACATTGTTGTAAAAAAAAAAGTTGAATGTGATGAATACAAAGACATATGGGAAGACATATAAATCGATGCAAAGCAAAGCAAACAGAATCAGGAAAACAATTTACATGACTACAAACTAGAAAGAACAATGACAAAACGATTGATACTGAACGCTGAGAAATTATGGTGACCAGGCTTAATGCCAAAGAAGAGACATGAGAAAGCACCTCACTCCCTTCTTTGTCAGGGACTCCCTTTGGGACCATGGATGTGGAACACTGAAGATAATGTTAGTCTTATGTAAAGTTGGTTAGTTTTGTTGAACGGGTTTCTTTTTTTCCTCTTTTTTATCCTTTGTTTTAAGGCATAGCTTTCTGAGAAGAAGGAGGTAGAACTTCCTATGTGGGAAAATGCATGTGATAGAAAAGTAAAAGCCAGGGATAGGGACTGATCCTGTTTCACTGTTATAGCAAATTCCAGGATAAGGAAACTTCCTCTACCAATGCAGGTAAGCACATTTTCTGCAACTTATTGTCTTAAGGAGTTGCCTAGAACATTGAAAGGTTAAGTGACTTGTTCAGGATTATACTGACAGTATGTGTCAGAAGTAGGACTGGAACCCAGGTCTTCTTGTCTCTGAAGCCAAAGCTACCTCTTTCTATAAAATAATTTTTTTTTAAGAAAAGATCTTTTGGAATGTTATGACTCCCTCTTTAACTTAGAAGCCATACTTTAGGAATAGTAATAATATCATAATAATGGGCTTAAGATTAGTTAGAACCATAAGCGACTCAACTGTTTCTCTGAAAGATGCCATATTTTATATCAGTTGTGTGTTGGTGGTGTGTTTTAAATGAAAAACATTTTTTTCATAGGGACAACAAACATCCTCAGTGCAGTAAGTTCTATTTTATATTTTTGCAGTGCATGAATAAACCATGAGTGTAGAATTGAGTCAAAGGCTTTGTAATAATCTATAAAGAATAAATATTATGGTGCTTTCAGGTGGCTTGCTCAATAATTACTAGATTAATTATATGTTATTCTTTACAGTTCTGGGACTTTTTGGTACAGCTTTTTTTGTTTCTTGGTCAATATATATATTTTTCTTAACCTACAGATTTTTTTTAAGTGATAGTATGCATTGTGTAACATATACAAACAAGTAATTGGCCTATATTTGTAGGGATTAGTATTGTTATTATTCTTTATGGTTTGTGATATTGGCCAAGTACTTTATCTTTTCTAAGCTTTAGTTTCCTCATCTTTAAAATGGGATAATAAAACTTGTATATGAGAAGACAAGGGAAGCCAGGAAGGGGAAAATCTATAGCAGTGATAATGATGATAATAGCTAGTATATATATAGCACTTCATGGTTTGCAAAGTGCTTTATAGATCTCTTGATTTATCCTTACGATAACCCTATTATGTAGATGCTATTACTATTACTATTTTAAAGATGAGGCAATTGAGGCAGACAGAGGTCTTGCCCAGGGTCACACAACTATTAAGTGCCTGTGGCTGGATTTGAACTCAGGTTTTCCTAACTACATTTTCACATTCAATCCACTATGCCACCTAGCTTTCTATTAGTCTCAAGGTCTCCATTGATTCAATTTTCTCATTAAATATACAATAATTATATACTATGGTTTTTACTGTCATTCTACATTTCATAAGTTTGTTGTGAAGATCAGATAACTTGCATATAAAGCACTATATAAATATAAATTACCGAGAAATGCAGATCTACCACCTTCTACACAAAACCTTTTCTGATCTCTCTAGCTACTAGTGTCTTATTCTTCCAAATTACATTGTATTTATTTTTTATATATGAACATATGTATATATATATTTAGATGTGTACATATACATATACAAGTCTATGTCTTTCCCAATACAATGTAAAGTCCTTGAGGACAGCAACTGTTTCATATGTCTTTGTATCTTCACTGATTAGTACAGTGCCCAGGCCTATAATCTACACTGACTGAATAATTAATGTAAATTTTTCTGTTTGCTGCAAGCCAATCGTGAGTTTCTTTTTACTGGCCTCATAAATATCATTTTCCTAATGGTGCCACCATATAACCCAAGTAAAAACAGAAGCTAGCCAGTGGGAATGAAAAGCAAACTGAAAAGCCACACCTACCCTCCCCACCCCCCACTCCCTCCCATCCTGACTCCAACAGGTTTAGATTTGTTTGCTGTGCTGGGTTTTATTTGCACATTAGAGAGACATATGCTTGGATTTAGTCATCAACACTGAACATCCCTATGGGAAGAGTGGAGCCAGGGTCCTGAGGTTGTAACTACACAAAGCTTTCAAGGAAGGATGATTAAACAAGCAGATACAGACATAACTACTGCTGTCTTTTATACTGTTGGATGATTCTGAGCGAACTCCAGGTTACCCACTTACAGAACACATTCTGTACACATACAACAGACACACACACATACACATAATATACCTCTCGATTAACAGCAAATCCAATGCTAACTGCCACTGTTGGAAATCTGCAAAGAAAACCAAATGTTGGTTTTTCATATAAACAAACCCTGAAGATCTTTATATATGTGCAAGCCCCTAACAACACTGCAGGGTATTGTGGGAAGGGTGCCCAAACACTTCACTGCTACTTTTTAATATTTTCCCCTTTTAGAATCTTGGAAACCACCTCCATATAAACATCCTCAGCTCACCATGTTATAATCTGCTAATAATTTGAAAGAAGAGAAGTTATCTGAGCCAGGCAGTGATGATGTGGGATAAGTGCTTGGAATCAAGTAAGACCTTCATTCTATTCCCATTCCTGACCATTTATAACTCTGAATGAATTATTTAATTTCCAAAGTCTCAACCTCCTCATCTTTAAAATGCGTAATATCTTCAGTATTCACCTTACCGAGTTATTGGAAGGCTCAAACAGAATAATTCGTGTAAAAGACTTTGCAAACATTAAATATCAATTTGTTGTTCAGTCGTTTCTGTTGTGTCTGACTCTTTGTGACCCCATTTGGGGTTTTCTTGGCAA